AGCACGGCCGAATTTGAAGGCCCCGCCAACCGTATCAATATTCTTATATCGTCACTCCAAAACAAGCTGAGCAGGCTCAATTTTCTCCGAAGCATCGACTGTTCTAGCGAACATCACGTGTCTATCCGGTAAAATGCCAAACGCAAGCACCAGTGGCTAATGCAATCTATGTAGGTCAAACATTTCAATCTGGGCACACTGACAATCATATTATACTGTGCAGACAGTAGTTCGAATTGATGCTATCATAACAGTTAACATTTGTCTGGGTTGAGATGATGTACCAAAGAAATCACGGTGTATGCATGTTAATGACAAAGAAATCAATGGATGCTTTCTTCGTTGATGCGATCTTACTAAGTTCCCGAAACTAAGGCATGTAGCTGTCTTAGCGTTTCACAACCGGAGGCTTCGGACAGGCACCACCCAAACCACAATAGAGTCGGACAATCCGATAAAAACTGGTGTCTACTTAGTCGGATCTTACGCTCTCCAAAAGCGGTGTATATGTCCAGGGTGTCCAATACACCCTACTGACCAGATAGTTAGTGGCTAGTATGTACCAAAGTCAGTTCATGAACTTTTCCTTGGGAGTTTAGAACCAAAGTTATTCAGCACCCCCAAGGACGGCTTTAGCGCACAGTACGCACCATTTCGTACCGCTTTTTAAATTAATACAACCTTTATCCAGCATGCAACGAAGGCATCAGTTATCTAATATAGCTCGAAAGTAAGAAAAGAGAGCTCCCGAGTGCTGGTTTAGCAAGAGTAAGTAGATATAAACGCAATGCACTGATAGCCAGTCTAAGACGACGACGAATGATGTCTATCATGCTGTGCATTAGCAATAAACGGTTCTTTAATCAGTATCAGTTATGTCATTTGAGTTCAATAACAGATCATTGGACGGTAAAGTAGAGCAGTTTTATCGATGAAATCTACCAAAAGACCACTACGCTTGTGCCCGGAAGGAATTCCATTTTCAAGTAACCAATCATCATACGAAGAAGAATTGTGAAATCTACAAACGTGATTTACTTGAAAGTACACATAATGAGAAAATATTCAGAAAAGGTCGTCTTAAAAAGAATAAGTAAACCACACAAACTCACCACGAAACAGGTCGATACAGTAGTTAATGGTGACATTACGCCGTATATGGACAAATCCATCGACCGCGCGAACAATTCGCATTGCATCCTCGGTCACATCACGCTTTTCAAGACGTCGTCGATCAGCCTGCAAACAATTATCACACATACATCCCACGACCAGACCACATTCGGACGGATCGAATGCCTCGCCAAAATGCGAAAGGATTTGTTTCCGACGACAATCGATTTGATTCTCACAATAGGAAACCATACGAAAAAGAGCCTCTTCGTGAAGTTGAATTGTGGCATAAGTGGAGACTCCCGGACCATCCCCTAAAATGACGCGAATGAGCAGGAAAGAGGGAGGAGAAAGATAGCGAGGTGCAATAATCTCCATTTCACACAACGTTGAATATTCCCGATTCTTAGGGGAAAGCATTTAGATGTCAACCGGGGTGATTAAAAGTCTATTCGCGATGTAGACATCTCAATGAAGATATTTGAGTTATAGTAACCAAACAGGGGTCTCGAAATTAGGACCATTTCAACAATGTGGTGGTAGTTGTGTGATTTGAGTTTGGTTACGAGTTATGAATAAATGTGCGGTTACACCTGGACGAGAGAATGCAAAACTGATGGTTAATGCCAATTCTGCCCTATATCTTCTTATGCTGATAAAATGGATAAGAAAAGGAATATCTTGCATAGGATAAATTCGCTTTGGCCATAGAAGACCAGGATGACTACCGCCAAATGAAACACTACACCTGTTGGGGGTCTTTTGAGTGACAGTAATCGAATGATCACGGTCATCACCATCCTCGTACGGTAGTCAGCTGCTTTAATCCCGCCAAAGTCACCTAGTTCTAGCATTTCCTAAGGTAAATTCTGATTGATCGGAGTTCTCCTGCTAAAAATTGACGAAGCAAATGCATATCTGATAAAACCAAAGTAGACCGTTGTTTTAAACACCTGAAAAAAGCCAGGATTTATCCTGAGCTCAGCGATTTCTTATTTTTAACTATAATAATACACTCGATGGATAGGATTTAGCTATCAATTGGAGGGATGAACGGCAAAACGCGCACAGCAGGAAAATAGACGTGAATGATGTTTCAGATCCACTGGGATAGTAAATCCACGACGAAGACAGTGAAAACGGATATTCCAAGGAGGGATTCTAAAAGTTTGGAAACACTAGTTTGCACTGAATGACAACACGGGTTGATCCAGGTAGGGCAATCTGGAAAACTGGAGAGTTTGTGAACTCAACTGGTGAAGGTGTTTCAGAAAGTCCATGAACTGGATACTTAACGCCCGCATACTGACTGCATTTCACTCAGTAATGGTATATACACATGGGGTGAGACAACCTGGAACGTTGAGTCAAACAGCACTTAAGATCTGGTGAAAAAATGCACGATAATGAGTTCGGAAAGCAGTAAAACGGCCTCGAAACATAGTTGGATGATGACCAAGCGTAGTAGCCAAAAAACAGCGTTTGCCAACAGCAACACACAAGTGGCTAAACAACCACAAAACGGCATCCGAAAACCTCAGTATGGTCGGGGGTGGGTGTCTCTGATTGTGGCCGGTCATCCCTCCCTTGCATCTCGTGAAATACTCCTACATGACCAAGCGTCTCAAATGGACTCCGCTAAAAAACCTTATTCACTGCCTTCCCGTGGCGGAGGTGCTTTCCCACCAAAGGGAAAGAACGAGACGCTAACATCCGGGGCCATACACGAGTGAACCAGTCATTTCGTCCAGTTCAACTGAGGGAGTTGGCTAAAATCCCTGATTTCAAACCAACCGGTAAGAGGCGTACGAACCACACACACACCCTCCTAGTTGTGGCAGGGGTCATCGGCTCGATTGGGCACCTTGGACGTTTGACTCCACCCAAATGGCGCGTGACCCGATAAACTATAGACACCGCCCCCCCNGGATTACGGTTTCCACAGGCCGGCCCCACGGCTTAATGGGTCAGGCTTTGGTCAGTCGAAAGCCTCGGTTGTGAATTCTCTAAGACAATTTACCTACCTTGGCCTGGGCAAAGTAATAGTCTCGCACCTACATGGAACTTGTGGTACAGTCTGCACTCGCACGTGTGTGGAGTATACATGCATCACAAAACGGACTACAAGACTCGTTCAAAGAAAAGCATACATACGAAGAAACGGTCCCCCTGCTCTCCGCAATTGGTGCTCTCGCAGATGCGGCTTGCAGACCCAAGAGCGAAGGCTGAATTGCACTAAATAGAAATAATTGGCAAAAAAGCCTTAAATGACAACTAGATGTTGCCCGAGAACTGCCCGTAAAGCAAGCCCCAATCACAGTGACCTGAGAAAATATTGTATTGCACTACCTGATCATCATCAGCAGCAGCATCAGCATCAGTATCATCATCAGCAGCAGCAGCAGCATCATCCTCATCATCATCATGATCGTACGGCGAGATCGCTGCCAAGAACCTACCTGATCAGGTCAAAAGTATAAGGGATGAGCCCAATAATCCCCAAAAACCACTGTTCGGTTATGAGGACCGCGGTGGTGAACTACAAAAGGTTAACAAAGAATAGACGTCAGTTAAATTGTACGACGCCAGTGTAGAGGCGGGATCAAATCGCCGTTCCTAGCCTTGTATTACAATAGAAACTATTCGGTTTAACCTCCGCAGCCATGGCGAACAAAACACCTCTTAATAAAACAATCGAATTCTTTGATGATGGTGGTGGTGATGCAGTGGTTTAGTCGCTGTCACAGGCGTGTTTTGGACCCTATGATCCGAGGTTCCAGCCCGCCACTGCTACCCAACTTTAGTGGTAGGCAGCTTTGTTGTCGTTCGGGTCAAAAGGAAGCCTAACCTAGGGGGGGGGGGCCTTATGTGGTGCGCCACTCACAGTCCCCAGGGCTTAGATCACACGTTTCAATCCCTGAACAGCAGGTCCTCGTGATTGTAGGGTTCGCCCAGTCTGCTGTTTATCATACGAATGTGTAATAAAAAATATTTTAATTATGCCGAGAACAGAATGACACGGAAAACTACTACGAACATCAAAGTAACAATCGTTTGGAATCGAAGAAGCGCTGCGCACACACGGATAAGTTCAGCTAAGTGAAGAAAATTTACCTTGAATTAATTTTCTCAGCCGGACTACATCGTGCCAATGATAGTAGAGAATACACGTGGAAGGTAGTCCATCTCGACCGGAACGACCGGCTTCCTGATAGTAACCTTCGATCGATTTTGGCAATGAATGATGAATCACAAAACGAACATCCGGTTTGTCAATACCCATGCCAAAAGCAATGGTTGCGCACACAATCTGTGCAAGGTGCAAGAAAAAAGACAAATTTTGGTAGGACTATTATTTGTACAGTAAAAACACGGTCTGACTGGTGTCGGCATAAAAGTTCCTGCACGTATATAAAAAAAACAGCAGATTGTAATAAGAAAGTCAATGAAAATGCATGACCACCTTGGAACAACAATCATCCGACGGGTGGATACTTTCTGAAAATGTATTGATTTACATCGAATGTGTAATCGTCGTGCACAATTTGTAACTTATCCCTGAAAAGCACAGCTGGATCATCATTGAGAGGAGAATTCAACAGTGCGTTTTCACCAAATGCAGTGTTTTACCATATACGCACACCCTATCGTGATGAACAGCAGACTGGGTAAACCCAATAGTCACGAGAAACTCATAGTCACTCATGAAAACCAGAAACCTAGTACACAAGGCTTGAAGGGCTCCGCCAGATTAGGCATGGTATTGAACCGGACGACAGCAAAGCTGCTTATCACTAGGATACTTGAATCAGGATACTAAGGATTGTTGATCTGACGCATCAACTACGCGGGTTATTAGGAATGCCTGTCAGCCGCTTGCTGTACTCCAACATTACAGGATATGACATCCAACTTTAGTGATAAGCAGCTCTGCTGTCTTCGGCTCACTACCACGCCTAACCTACCAGGGCCTTATGTGGTTTGCTACTCCAAATTCTACGGCTTAGGTTGCCAGTTTTCACCACTGACCATGGGGTTCACCCCTTCTGTTCATCGCACTCAGGTGCGTAATAAAAAAATGTCGTTGGACATACCAAACACTATCAAACAGTGATTGACTCCCTGACGTATGACTTCTCAGCAGGGTCGAGTTACGATCGAGCAGGAAATCTGCAGCTACTTAGCATGAAGTGGTTTAATGGAACTGACTTGGGAGGTGGATTTCTATTGGTCAGCGCGTGCGCTATACAAAAGTTCAGGTGGTGTCCACGCATGATTGTGAATCCAACCGAGGCGCCTGATCTTTTCAAACTATGTATACATATACAAATACAATAAGTAGTGTGTAAATGACTGGACAAAATTTCCCTGGAAGCATATGACCGGTTTCGCGGTTTCCCAGGCATGTGTATCCGGTAATGTTTTGCCAGTTTATTCACATACTTGTACCCAGGAAGTGTATTTTCGTCACAACAACCTTGTTTGCAACATCGGGTGACCATTGGATAGACAGCTCTTTCAGAGCGAGTCCATTGGAGAATCAATGCTATGATTTGATGTTTTGTAAGTAGGTTAAATGGTACTAACCGCAACAAACGTGACCTGATGGTCTTTGTAGAATATTTTTCCAACTTTGTATACATTTACAATAAGTAGTATGTGAATGACTGGACAAAGATATACATATATCACCGGCTTGTAGACAAGCATGGTGCCAACGCTACAACAATAATAACAATAACAATAATAGGGGATAGGTGGACTGGGGAAAAAAGAGAATTTGCAGTCGCAATGCGATGGGAAACGGTTGCCACTTATTCCAACGGACGAGCGAAAACGTGCGTGCATCCGCCGACAGCTGGGTGATTCAAGAGAGTCGTCAAGACTGGATTTTATACCACCCATGACGAAAAGCATGGACTTCTGAACATAAGGCCATCAGCTTGATTGGGTGACACAGTGTATTTAGCCTCTTGAAAGTAGGAGTTCCCACGAAAGGATGTAAATTTAGATCGCTGGGTCACTGTATCGCGAACTCGAAGCACGGCGGATTCGGTTACTCTGATAAAAGTTTGCAGTGGGATCCCTCTGCCAACAATCGAGGTAGACTGCCACAACGGAAGAGTGCAACAGCCCGTAAAACTGATATTAACAAGGAGCGAACAAGAACTTCAGATTACCAACCACCTTTTTTCATTTCGTTTTTTCTCGTCGAAGGGGTTTGCACCTGGCTGGAAGCAACACAGTGATGAAGGATGGGACTTGCTTCAGTGTATTCCACCGCGTGTCAAAGGTGAATTCGATTAGTAGAATATGCGTGACAACATGCTGTGACACGAATTTTTCCATTATCATGTCTCACGGCTTTTACGATCTCATTGTTACCGGGGCATTCATTGCCACATGCTTAAACAACACAAATATGGGAGGCTCCACTGTCACATTCCGTCTAGCTACATCATATCGTGTTCCTTCCAAAAGGTGGAACGATTATCACACTTCCGGAATTGCATAAAAGAGTGTCTATACTAGCTGCGACAATATTGTTTCCGTCCGCTGAATCAATGAGGCTGCAGTTTACCGAAACGTGTGGAGTAACCAATGTAAGACAACCAATCATGCGTTTAAAGGGCACAGGCAAACATAGATCGGGAAAAGTGCTGCCATATGTCCCAACCGGTAACTGTTAGATCATGTGTGTAGCTATAACCTTTCAATTTCGTGGTGAATACACAAATCAATTTTTGGTGAAAGCCGGATGAATTGGTCGGTGCCTTTGCTACTGCACAGGCAGCCTGGTGAGTCGAGTTTGTCACAATTGGCATTCATAGAAACGGGTCAGCTTCTCGTTAAAGGATCATACTGTAAAGAGAAGGATCACGAGGGAAAATGGAGATGGAATTCTGCATTTTCCGGCCCAGTTTCTTCATGGCTGCCCATTGACAGTAGGCCAAATAGAATTGAAGATACATTTGATTTGGGTGAAGTATACCTTCACCACAATGATCGATGATTTAATCAACACAATGAGGCACATATGTACAAGTGAGTCGAATTTTTGGCTTTTCCAGCGCACACAGTGTATTTGAATAAGTAACGGTTTTACAAAGCTACTGATTTTCTAGTAACCTTATGCGCTTTCTCAAGGTTAGACGGCTTATGATCTGTTTTATTACACATTTTCGTGTGATGAACAGAAGACGAAGAAAGCCCCATAGTCATTAAAACCTGCTGTCCAGTGATTTTAACCGGCAACCGAAGCCCCGGGACTGGGAATGGCGAACCACATAAGGCCCCGATGGAATAGGCGTGGTATTAAACCGGACGACAGCACAGCTGCCTACCACCAACGTTGGGTGGCGTTTGTGGAGCTCGAACCTCGGACCATAAGGTCTAAAGCACGCCTGTGACAGCGACTAAACCACAGCACCACCACCACTTGTGCATGAACTTCAAACCCCTGCACTCAGACATCCAGTTAAGCTTCTAATCCTCGTACTGAATATTCCAGAGGTTCAACCTTATAATCCTTTTTATGAAGTGCTACAGAATAATCGGTTCATTCCGATAAAAAGATATTCCTTTCGGCATAGACCACACGAAAGGCGAGTTGGACACGAGGACGAAATTTCAACTCTTCCTGGACGCTATCGACCTATTGATAAGATATGATTACGAAAACCGAACCGTACGAATGAAGGGTATAAGAAGACGTTTGGTTACCCAAAGAATGACCAAAATAACATGGCGAGATGGAGTATCAAACGATAAGGTACGCAGGTGCTGCTATCCCCTAAATTGCATAACACAGGCTAACCAAATTCGTACTTGTATTTTCATGCGACTATCTCATACATGGGGATAAAGCAGATCTATGAATTTCCCTAACAGAAGAAGCCCATGAGAGGCGGTCGGGAACGATACATATTGTGATCCAACTACGGTCTAATACGCACCAACCATAGAAGACTTGAAGACCCAGGAACTCCAGATCAAATTTAATGGTGCTAATTCGTATCTTCATTTGAATACCAGGACAGCAGCACCAGTCTACATACTGTTGAGTAGGGGCAGTGACTTAAAGGTCAACTTGTTTATCATCGGCAGGCATGGCTAGACCATTGAAGGCGCGTCAGAGGGAAGGTGGCAACCTTTCCTAAGCAACGCTGTCTCTGATCTTTGTCTTGATTCAACAATATTCCCGGCTAGGTGCTATAGTAAGTGAGGCTAGTTGAAAATATGCCTTAGTATTATCGACATGGACTTTGGGATTTCGTCAAATCTACAGTTTACACCGCTGGAGCCAAAACCGAATCCCGATTCGTTCAGACCATGTATTCAATTGTCGTCGTTGGACAAGCCGCAATCCACCAGACCTATCAAATGGTTTCATCTTCTCGCAAGAAATGACAACTTAAAATTAAGACTTAATGATAATTGAGTTATACTCAGCCCGATAGAAAAAACGCTTGACAGTGAGCTACCACTGGAATCTACACAGCGAATTTAGTCGAAATCGTGTGGTGTAACCGGAGGACTATCGTGAACCCTGCGAATTGGATCAGCGTACCGTAAAGGGATTACAATAATACAGAACATGAGATCTAATTCCAGAATAAGCCACCTTACAATAAAGATCTATATTATGTGCGCAAGAAATGCTAAACTTACTCCAGAAGCACCTAACAGGTAAAATACACAGGGCTCCTATCGGAAGATGTCCCTGTTCTAGGTAACGGCAAGGTTGGTACAACCGAAGATCGATAATACAATCAACTAAGTTAAATGGGCACAATCTGCTAGTTCGTTTGCGGCTGCCTACGAAACGACAGATTGTTCACTAACCCAGGAAAACACATTAAACGGTCAAAATGTCATACTTTGCATTTGTCTTCCTGAATCCACGCCTCTTGCACTTTTCGTCGTTGTGCATCTGTCATGCCTGCATGATACGCGGACGCGGCTAGCCCGGCTTTTCGTAATTCGTCCGCAACCAAATCGCACTCACGACGTGACAGACAGTAGACAATCCCAGATCGTTTGGGAAATTCCGTGTGGATCACTTCAATGATCTCCTTGGTACAACTTTTCAACTTTTTTGGCCGCACTTCGAATTTCAGATTGGAACGATTGAATGACTGAATGAACCTGAGAAATAGTAAAATAAGTATGTGAGAACAGTGCTTGAACCCATCGAAAATCAAATTTTAGAAATGCCAGAGGAGTCACATTAATCATTATACATTTTTTTCGAAAGTACCAGAGGCAAAACGATGTGTTAATCGAAATAACATGTGCACAGGCACATGTTAGGATTCGTTCCGTACAGACAATACTACTTAAATAGGTAGTGTGATTCGAATATGCCTTCACTGATTGTTTCAAGAGAAAAGAAGAATCTTACATAGGCTTACCCTCAGGGTTATTCTCTCTTTCTCTCTGTCTCTCTACCTCTATTCATGAATTTATGAATTTGATTCTTGAAACAGCCCTATTCTAGTGCGAGGATTATGGCATCGAATTGCTCCTAGGTGGTAGACTGTCTGATCTTGAGTATGCAGAGGACATTGCGTTGCTGCTAAGTGAAGATTCAGCTAAGTTGACGGCTTTTCTGGATAGTTCGAGTGATAGTATATCTATGTTTGGTATGCGTTTTGCACCTTCAAAGTAAAAAATGTTGCTACAAGATTGGGTTGGTCCGGTCCTCAACCTCACTCTCACTGGGGTAGTAGAGGAAGTAGACAAATTTTGCTATTTAGGCAGTTATATCTCACCCGGTGAACACATCACGAATGAAGTGTCAGCTCGCATACAGAAGA